ACCCTCTCAAGCAGAAAGAGGAGAATCGCAAAATAGGCCAGCCATCCCAAGCAACAGCCAACCCCTGTTGCTTGAAGGTTCGTGGGTCGTCAGAAGTTGGGATAGAAGTAACCAATACCTCTCGACTTCTAGATACCCACGTACCTTCATGTAAGCCCCCACATATGAACCTTCGTGCAAACCCCCCTCCCCCCCTTGGACCGCCAAGTAGTGCCGAGCAGCGTGGCCGGGAGGTGGTCAGAAGGAGCTTCCGGAAGCAAGGGCGGCCTGAAAGGCTCTTTGGGAAGACTCAGGGTTCAAGGTTCGCTTTTCTTTTCTTGTTTTTCCGCATGATTTGTTTTTTCTTCTTCTATTTGTTCAAGGGTTTTGGGCGGAGGTCTGTAAGGGCCATTTAGGAATAAGAGTGCTGGGCATCAGGGAAGGGGCTCAAGGTTGCGAGGGGGTCTCGCGCTGCATAAGGTTTACAACTATTTGCTAAGAAGCACCCAAAAGCATATTCTTCCCCTATTTGGCGAATGTAGGGGGATTGTTTTCTGTGTTTTTGGAGGTTCTTAAGCAAACTGTAGTCAAAAGATCACAAGGCATGGGCGGAAGGCGCTGCAGAGGTTTAAGGTGCCTGGGAACACAATCAGGCCCAGCTGATGGGATGGCAACCAGTACTCTGGTTGGGATACAGAGAATGGGTCTTCTGCACAGCCTTTTAATGCAACTGTGAGGAGTATGACTTGAGAGTTGGTACTTGTCTAAGGCTCCTGTTTTGCAAATTCCTGTTGTGCTCCCTGGGGCTTTTCAGAATCGTTTCACCTCAGTGGCTTGGCGAGGCGCAGGAACTCTGTTTCGGAGGGCTCCTCTTTGATTTCCGGCGTCAACACCTGCAGGGGGGCTATCTGAAAACCTCGTGGACACCACCGAAAGCCCCTGAACTTCTACTTCTCGTTCGTACTGTGGGTTTTGCCAACGTGCTCGGATTGTCCAAACACCTGGAAGCCTACCGACAGGCGGAGGTCTATGAGAGTGAGGCCACAAACCATTCTTCGCACTGCCTAGCCAGTTCTTGCACAGCTGACACACTAAACGGAATGAATCTCGGGGGGGTGACAATGAAGGCCTGGGCACCGAAAGCTCAACCGTGACGCAGCTGGCTTCAGGCTTGGACTACTGAAGGTCCTCCTATTCGAAGCTTAGGGGAGAGGACATGGCTGTGGCCAAACACATCGTTTGTTTGCGTGGCCGCCTGGAACCTTCCTCCAGGGTTCAAGAGTTACAAAGGTTTATAGGGGCCTAGGCCCGATCCCTTAAAAATAGAACAGCAGGTCCTTTCAGGCTTCCAAGTCCAAGCTCTGGGTCTTTAGGCGTCTTCCCAGGCATGGCGACGTGCAAACCCGTGCATGAACAAAGGCGAACGCCACTGAAAGCATTATTAGTAACGGACAGGCAACTGCTGGGATGAGCTGTCGCCTGGCCTTGTCGCTGCGAGGGTTGTCGCAAAACCGACCCTTGTGAATTTGTTTGGGGGGGGGGGGGGGGGGGGGGGAGGGAAGAATATGCACAAGCTCGACTGTTGCGTCCGCAAACTGGCACAGCATCCGTCTGCCTGCACGTGGAGGCAGAGGTCCGTCAGGGCATATGTGTCGTAGAGCTCCCTCAGAGTCCTTCGGAAGCATGGGAAGACCCTAACACAATGGAGACCTGCTACTGCTTTCATGCGCTGGCGACAGATCACAAGCTTGGCAACAACAAAGATCCAGGAGCTCTTTGGGCTCGATACGCACTGACAGAACCAGAGTCGAGCATTGCCCACACTTCCGAACAAACTCCAAAACTAGGATGGCCCTTCTAACCCTCTTTGAAAAATACTCCTGAATATGATATCTTCTTAAATCCAATCTGTTCAAAGCCTAGGTGCAATCCCGCGGTGTTCTCGCTGTGGCACAGCTGGATGCCGTGCGGGACGCAAGTGACGACGCTCCTGTGTACAAGCTCCCCAGAATGCCTAGGAATACAAAGGCCACCCTTTTCGGTTTGTCAGGTTTTGGGCCTTCAGGGCAGGGTTTGGGATCAAATGGCACAACAGCGTGCCCAGAGTGCCATGTAGCCTGCAACCGCAGACATCCAAGCAATGGCCCTTTTGGGAAAGGAGGTCGTCCAGGGACCCACTGGTCCGTCGCTGAAGGGTGAAATCGGGGAATTTGGGCCAGGTTCTGTCGGCATTTGTTTCCTCTGGTGCTATATCACCGTATGGACTTCGGTTGGCATTGGCGGATGTGCATGAATCTGGAGCCCTGGAACGGCAAACTAAGATGTGGGCGACTTTCAAGCGCCTGGAAAGGAGCCTGCACCCGCGCAGTGCTACGCAGTTTGCAGATGGTGTGCATGAACTGGTGCGGCTTTCAGCTGTTCATGCAGTTTCATGATCAGATCGGCTTAGCCTCGAAGTGGAAAGGAGCTCGGGAGCCTCTGCGCACGACATTGACGATTCGGCAGGGCCTTGCCGTTATGTTGCACTTGTGCTTCGGCCGCTCTGCAAGGGCTCGGCTTGTTGCTCTCAAGGCTAAAGGCTGTCACTCTGCAAGAGCTTGGCTCGCGCACGGCAAAGAGTTTCCTCTGCTCACGTTTGGCTTCCAATTCCAGGCGAAGGGCAGCCACTCTGCACGAGCTCCGGTTGCTGTTCAGGGCAACGGGTGGTCATGCTGCACCCGTAGGGCTTGCTGTTCAAGGCACAACAATGCCTGGCTTTCAGTATCGACATGTAGCATTCGCTCCAGCGCAGGCTCTTCCTCGACACTCGCTGATGCGGAAACGAGGTGGCCTTTGTAGGCTTTCATGGCTATCGATGGCTTGCGATTGATGGCAGTGTCGGATTGAGGGGACGGTTTTTCAGGACTTAAGGTCCTGGCGGTTGCATCCCCTCGGCCATGCCGTGCCCCATTTGTTTACACTTGTTTAGTTTGAGAGAGGCAGAATGATCGGCCAGAGCTCTCGACGGAGCTTCGTCGAGCGATGGCCGGCATCCATGAAGCTTTCTTTATGCGCGCGCAGGCGTGGCGAGCAAAATTGACTCTGACTCGTCCCCAAGTCCTACAGTTAGCGTCCCTTTGCCGCTGAATGCCCAACTTAGCAAGCTCTTGAGACTTCCTAGAGGTCTGTCTCCTCTCATCGGCCCAAGTGCAGAGGCTCTGGAGTTTTTGCACGAAGTCAGCGGTGGTAAACCTCAAAGCTTCGGGATTGAAAGCTGACGCAAGAGTTTCAAAGCTTGGGGGGAGGGCGGGGAGGGAGGGAAGTGGGAGAAGGGGGGAAGGGAGAGGGTTTATCTGATGAGGACTCAGGGTGAGAGGCTATTGGGCTTAGCTTGCATTTATGTGTGAGAGACTACAGGTGCCAAAGCACCATCCGTTTGGAAGGAGCAAGCCTCAACAGACATCGCGAAGCCCAGCTTGCAGTCCCTACAATTCCACGACCTTGCATGGCTACGCCCTTCGAGCTTGTGTAAGGGGCTTCTGGCCGCTCCGAGCTCGCTTGTGGACTTGGACGGGTACTTGGGGGGAGAATTGCGGCATCGGCCTTGATGAAACGAACGGGCTCCTTTCCCGAAAATAGGGGTATCCTGTTTTTAAGGGGGAGGGGGGGGGAGGGGGACCTTAAGGGGATTCTTCCCTATTTGGGGTTTGAAAGGGGTACCCCTGTTTTGGGAACACCGGCCTTTGGTTGCCAGTCAAGGGGCTCCTCCGGCATCAGCAGTTTCTTCTTGTAGCCATCGGGATGGCTCCTGACCAGCGCCCAAGAAAAACGACGGAATTGAACCCATTCTACGAAACCCCAAGCAACCCTAAACCCTAAACCCTAAACCCTAAACCCTAAACCCTAAACCCTAAACCCTAAACCCTAAACCCCCTTTTTTGAACTGGACTGAAAGGCTAGCCAGAACCCCAGAATCCATGCAATGCAAATCGGAGAAGCACCAGCAGGCTCAAGCAGCCGCCAAGTGTCACCAGGCAGCCACTCACTCGGAACAAGTTCGTGCGGCAAAAGGAACTTGAAACACTGTGTAGACTGTAGACTGACGTTTGGCCTGCAACCCTAAACCCTAAACCCTAAACCCTAAACCCTGAACCCTAAACCCTGAACCCTGAACCCTGAACCCTGAACCCTATCTAGGGTCAACCTGGCTTCGCAAGGGCTTCGGGCCGTGAGCGCGCTCTCTTATAGGGGGAGATTGAAGAGTTGCACCTTAAGCTCCACCGAACTGAACGTCACCTCGGCTCCTCCAGCACACTACCGGCAGCTTGCTGGGGTGAGCTCGAAGAAGGTGGCGCACACGCTCGGAATTTTCTAAGTCCATCTTGCTTCTTGCTTGAGGTCGACCGAAACAGCTGCCAGACGGCGAGGGCTTCAGAAAGCAAGAAGCTGGCGCCCCCAAGCAGGCTTAGGGTAGACATACTAGTAGCTCTTCATAAGGCATTTGGGAGTTAGGTAGCGCATTTTCCATGGATGATATGGGGTACCTAATTCCCACAGGGTTGCAAATCCGCGAAACAAGCTGAGGCATCCTGCAATCCTAAGCCCTAAACCCCCTCAACCCCCTCAACCCCCTAAACCCCCTAAACCCCCTGAACCCCCTAAACCCCCTAAACCCCTGAAACCCTGACCCTTCACCCCTTAAACCCTAAACCCTTTCAACCCTAAAACTGTGACCCCTTAAACCCTCTTACCCCCTTAAACCCTAAACCCTTCAAACGCTCAACCCTCAAATCCTAAGCCCCGTAAATCCGAAATCCCTGAAACCCCTAAACCCCGTTAACCGCTTAAGACCCCCGTTTGCAACCCTAAACGAACGCTCAACCCCTCAAACCCTCAACCCCCTTTTGGGCAATGGGCTTAAACCCTAAATCCCTTGAACCCTAAGCCCCTTAAGCCCCCCTTTTGAAACCCTATATAAACCTCTTTAACCCGAAACCCTAAACCCTAAACCCTAATCGGGGACCCGAATTCGAGGCCACCGCATCGTAACGCAGAGCCGCGCTGTCGCCAGGAGCCAGGGTGCCATGTGTCGGCGTGACCTGGGCGGCAGGTCTGAGGAAACTTGTGCGTATACACACATGTGTATATACATACATATATATATATATATATATATGTATATATATATATACATATATGTGTACATGTGTGTGTGCTTGAAAATGTGCTACTATATGCATATGTATATATATATATATACATAGAATATACTAAACTCAAAAGCTGATGCGCTTGCGGATCCGAGGATCAGCCGTGACCCACGGAGTGAAAGACACGGCAAACGGCGACCTGAGCACGCAGAGCTTGCTGCCAGGGGCGCATTACAAGATTACCCCGAATATACCCCAACAGTCCCCACATGATAGATTTGATCTGATAGGTATGCCCCCCCCCCCCCCCCCAGTAAAACCCCCCCCCCCCCCAAAAAAAAAAAAAATGTATCCCTATTCTGGGAAAAACCCTCGAATGACGTGATGCTTTCCTTGCCTCCTGGGGTGCATTGATGCAAGTGTGTGATTGTCTGTGTGTGTGTGCTCGCCTGAGGCCTTATGGGATCCTGCCACATCGCACACATACAAAGACCTACCTGAAACAAAAAAGCTTCCGGCCGGAAGCCCAGGCAACTTCAGGTACCTCGTGGTTTTCGAAGAAGCAACGACATGTTGTTCGCCCAGGTGCTGGCTGGCAAAGAGACTCTCCAGGCTGATGCGAAGGTTCTGTCCTTCGGTGACTCACAGCTTGGAGAAATTCATGGGGAGTTCTATGCAAAGGTATAGGTATGGCGACCGATACTCTGAGGTGCATGTTTGAGGTATAATCCTCCAACCCTCTACGGAGAGCCTTCAAGCATTCGGGAATCCAGAAAGGACTGGAGCTGAATGGGATGTGGAGGCTCAAGCAGCGTGACTCTCTGTGTGCAAATCGAAAGGACGAGCCAAGAGTCCGTAGTCACCTGCATGCGTCTCCAAACCGATGAGCGCATTTAGGTATGAAGTGGACGACCTGGGAATATGATAGGTAGCCCGCAGCATCAATAAACCCCTTTCTACCCTAAACCCTTAGCCCTCTCTTCACCCGCGAGTCCGCTGACATCCTGCAACCTTGCGGCTTTCCCAAAAAGACCTGTGGGCCTGCAAACTCTCGCAGCAAGACTAAGTTGTCCCTCTCGACCTTCTGATGCATAATATGCAGCCTGAATAACTAGAATAGGGTTTTGGGGTTTATTATGGTTTTGGGGGTTATTATGGTATAATTACAAATGAACCATGAGGGACTTCCATTAGTAGTTATTCCGGCCCCTACATTATTCCTGAATCAGGGCGCCGCTTCTTAACCCAACAAGGGTATTCGGATCCAGGAGTTCAGGGATTCAGGGCTATGGCAGCCGCTCATTTAGTGTGTCACGTCTGGGCTGCTATCCTGGCCACAGAACTGCCCTGAACTCCGTAGATGGCACTGTGTTGTCGAGGACTCCATGAACCACGCGATTGCTTGTGACAAGTCATACGCTCATAGGCTTTGCTGCCTTGTGGTCCGGTATCAGCTAAGCAAAAGACCTGAGCAGCTCCAAAAGCTTGGATGCTGTACCAACACCCAACCTTCGTACTCCTCCTAGCCCTCAAAATCCCACATGAAGCATCCGGCAAGATGTGGGGTTTCCGAAATCAAGGGTGCCTTATTGGGGGATCCTGCTATTTGTGAGTCTGTTTTAGGGGCCCCTTCTTCTCGTAAAACCCCATGTGGAAGAATGAGAAGGTCCGGAGCAAGGGCTCGCGCGGAAGCAGCTGTCCGAACTACCCACCGAAGCCCCCGAGGTCATGGCCTGGAAACCGAAGCACAGCCACCCAAAGAGGGTTTAGGGTTTATATATTGGGTTTAGGGTTTAGGGTTTAGGGTTTAGGGTTTTGGGTTTAGGGTTTAGGGTTTAGGGTTTAGGGCTTGAATCGGAAGTGCTAAGAGAACGACGACGGGAAGGCTTCATACATGAAGAAGATTCGCCCGTCCTTGGTCACAATTTGCTTCGGACCCTTCAAGCGAAAGCGAGAGGAACCGTACCGTGCTGAGGAGAACCGGACTGTGGCATCCTCAACCGTTTAAGCCGCCTATAAACCCAAGCCCCAAATCCTAATCCCTAAAGCCTAACACACGGTTTGGTGAGGCTACCCATAGTTGTACTCCACACCCTTGGACGGGAGCTAGAACTAACATTGCTGGCTGTGTCGTTAGAAGCCATTGCTGAAGTCCCTTGGGAACCATTGCTTCATTCTTGTTGAATATACCCCCCCCCCCCCCCAGGGAATACTGATAAACAACCTGTACTATCGTTCCGGTAGGGAGTAGAAGAAGGGCTTGGCGCGGACTTGGGCTGATATGGGCTGAGCGCTTTGATACCTTGGGTTGTATCTTAACTCAAGGTTATGTGTCCCGTTTAGGTCTCCTAAACTAGAAGACGATAATGAATGGATACGCACAAACTTAAAAAACAAACATTACTACAAGAGAGACCTCAAAAGCAATCCGCAAACTTGTAGAACCGCCCCCCTCCCCCCATCGAGGCAGGGGTTCTGCTGTTCTGTGACCTTGACGATTCTTGGCTCCGAGATACCCAGATGGGTGTTGATGCGGGGGTTTAGGGTTTGAGGGTTGAGGGTTGAGGGTTTAGGGTTTAGGACATGGGCATCGACCTCTTCTTCTGAGCAGATCGACCCTGAATCTCCAACCTCGTCCCCAGAGTCCGAGTTTCCGGGTTTGGGGTGAGCTTCTTTCAGGATGGGGGGCCGGGGAGGGGCAAAGGCCCTCTGCCATTTAGGGTTCATAAGGCCCTCGACCTCACATGCACCCCAGATCACGAAGTCCAAGCAAGATGTGTTGCAACCAGAGTCGGTGGCACTCCCTTACGGTTTAAAACTTGCAAGGTACTTGAGGGACAAGAGTCCCGAAAGAGCCGGATCTCGAAGAAGACGGCAGATGGCCCCGCGTTGTAGGGGTAGCCTGGGCTTAGGGAGACGCGTGTCACGACACAAAGGCTTAGGGTTCCCGACTTCGGGGTCAGCTTCGAGCTCCTTCTTGCCGGCCTGGGCCAAGGTCAACTCCGGAATGTCTCTTTAGAGTGACGAGAGCTGAGGACCTACGGCGCCCCAAATGAGACGCTCCTGCAGGGTATTCTGCAGGACGGCCGCCAAGTCACTGGGGTCGAAGAAGGACATGTTCTCGAACCTGGCCGCTGCAACTGCTGAAGGCTTGCCTGCTTTCTCTCTGCGTTACTGGAAGCAGTCGGCGACTACTGAGTTTACCATTTTCACCCTGCAGCCCGGGTGCGAACTGCGAAGTTCTGACAGGTTGACAACATGTTGGAAAAGGGTTTCGCGTGAGGTTGGTTTTTGCCGCCTCTCTTGTTGCAGGGCTCTAGGATCATCTAGAATCTAGAAGTGCTTCGGCGGAGGCCCGCTCCACAGCGAATTGGATAAGATTGACATTGCTTTAATACAGGGGAGAACGTACTCGCGTGGCGCGCAATTCCGACAATCACTGGCAGCGCGGCTGGAAGACAACGAGCTCGTTGGAGTTCTCGACAATGGGAGCTGCCGAAATCCTGCGGCAAGTTTGTGCGAAGCTTGGCTCACTGCTGAGCACGAGGAGAAGAGCAGACAGCATGATCATGCGTCGTTCAAGCTCAAGTGCAAAAAGCTGTTTTTTCCGATGGGCACCCGACAATTCTAAACAAACATATGTACTCGGAAGCGCGGCCTGCAAGCTCCACAGACCAGGTCGTACCAGAAGCCTGCTACCACCCTGGGCCGTGGTCAAGACAGGGGCGTTTTCTTACTGCAGCTTAGAAGAGCCCCAAACCTACTTCGTGTAGGTTCTTAGCATCAAGCCGCTTATAGGAACTCTAGGTACAGGGACTCGGGAAAGTCGACCCTTTTACTAGGGGAGAGGTGAAACCCCAATGAACGCAGAGGGTTCAGGAAGCTGACGAAGTCGACCGCGGGATCCTTTCCCCCCAATGAATGCATGGATTTTACAGCTACGCAAAGCAGCTAAAATCAGTACGCAAGTATCGAAATCCCCAAGGAACGCTTGGGCTCAACATATTCAACATGCCTGAAAACATCATCCAACATGGCTACTGAAGGACCTCCGCCCGAGCGAAACGCAAGCAAAGCATGGTGTCAAGCCTACCAAAACTTACGAAGAAGAGGCCGTCTAGGTCGCGTGTCAAGAGGATCAGTAACCATGAACCACCCACACACAGATGCTGCTTCGGGCTGTTGGGCTGAGCAAAGTATTGGGTTCTTAGGCCGGAGCTGCAAGGATGTGGATTTCATGGACTGAGCGAGATTCCGAACCCTACCCGCTACCAAGAAGTCTCGGCTGCTTGAATTCAGGTTTCACACTTCCTGGGCCATCAAATGGGCAATCTTCTTGCTTGGGGTCACTGAGTGTTCTCTGCTCAGGAGTAGCCTGGCGTGCCTTGCTTGGTGTACTGCAACAATGCTGGGTTTAGCCATGGGGCCCATTGGGCGCTGCTGTGCTGGGCAGCGCCAGGAAGTCTTGGCCTTGCCGACTCGACACAGAGCACGCAGACTCAACCCCAGACTGGATTGGGTTTAGGGCTATAGGGTTTAGGGTTGTCATAGGGTTGAGGGCTAAAGACACGAAGCAGTTGATGGTGCCCGAGCCCGCCCTTCCCCCCCAACCCACCACCAAGGCGGTATGTGAATAGGGCCGTATTCCTCAAGCCCATACCGCGACAAGCCGATGCTGCAAGTCCATGCTACAAGTGACAGACACCCGTCTAGAAGCCTGGAACACCAGCGCAAGTTTAGGGACACCTTCCTTGCACACGGCAAGCAGCAACCGTACCGTGCGAAATCCGGACCCATAACTGCATTTTTCTGAAAAAAGAGAAAGGAACTACGCTTAAGGGATCAGAACGCTCGCCTAAGAGCACATAAGGCTTCGTGATAAATGCGGGGAGCCTTCTCTGTGTAAGCATTGCACAAGCAAAGCACTCATGGGCCTGGCGAGTAGTCCATGTTGAAAACAAGGAGTCCATTTGAAGACACGTAGACCTGTCATTGGCCAAGCTCGGTGCAACCATTGCTTCGAACTGTTGGAGTGCCAAACTGGGGCGGAACTAGCAGTTCTTCCGGGCAGAGTGGTTCTCAAGCATCTGAACCCTAGCCGGAAGCTTCCAGGCGAACGTCCAGCTTGCCAAGACCACCCGACTCTGCCCGGAGGTTGGCGATGTGCAACACCGGTTGAGAGTGCGCAAATATGCAAAATAGTCCCCTAAACCCTAAACCCTAAACCCTAAACCCTAAACCCTAAACCCTACATGTACCCCTGTGAAGTCCATGCTGTCATGTTCAGCGGCCTGGTCGAAGGACTGCCCGAAGAAGGAGAAGTTAAAGGGAAGGGCATACAGCACCGCATCCTCAGCTTATGGTTCATGCTTTTGCAAGACTCAGGTCTGCTTTCAGGGTTTGTCCCTCTTCGGGTTCGAGTGGAGAGCTGGGGTGCATCATGCCTCGCTTATGCAGAGTGGGTGCATTGCGCCCCGACACACAACTCGGATACGTGGCCCGCCCAGGTCTTTTTGCAGATTGGGGTCATCGTCAGCATGGCTCGAGGAGAAGCTGCCTCAGACCGCAAAAAGAATGGGGGATTTGGGGGATCGTTATTCGCGTCTGTGGAGCCGAAGAAGTATCAGGGCCCCCGAATCCAAACCCATTATACACCTTGTCTCGTTTCCGAGCTCTTGAAGCTTGGTCGCGTTCTCAACGGCCACAGCCGGAGCGACGCACTCAGAATCGACGGATGACCGACATCGAATGATGTTCCTGCAATCAGACCGTTCTAACAAGCGCGGGCCCAAAGTTTTGTCACCTCCGCCATAGAGCTTCTTCACCGGAGCCCGAAATCCAAGGAGAGCCAAAGTCTCGCAGCCGAGCTTCTGAGTTCACTGTCGCTGGGCAGCGATGCGCGCGCAAAAGCCTCATCATCACTGGGATCATCATGATTATACGCATTGTCGTCGTCAGCATCTCCATCATCATCTCCATATCTACGATGATGGGGACATGCGGTTGTTCCAATGGTTGCTCGTAAACAGTGAAAACAAGGATGAGAATGTCAAGGCTTGTGAGGTCCAGAAGCTGAAGGTCTCCAAGCTCTGGGTTCAACTCCATGCGGGCTGCACCCCTAAACCCTAAACCCTAAACCCTAAACCCTAAGCCCTAAACCCTAAACCCTAAACCCTAAACCCTAAACCCTAAAAGGGGCCTTGAGGCCTTAGCCGCTTCCGCCAAGTAAGCAAGCCCAAAGGTCTAAAGCCCGAGAAGCCGGTTTCAAACCTCCAGGCTCCCCAAAGGTTTAGGGTTTAGGGTTTAGGGTTTAGGGTTTAGGGTTTAGGGTTTAGCAAATAAAACAAAGGCTTTAAAGTCTGGAAGCTGGAGCTGTGTAGTCTGGATTGCTCACAAGACCAGGGTAGGAGACCTCATAGAAGCCTCAGCACCAAAGCTTGTTGATCTTTCTGTTGCTGGGAGCCCTCCTCTTACTTGTTCTTGACTTGTTGGCCCCTCCCTCCCTCCCTCTCTCCCTCCCCTTCCCAAGTAATTCCAATGCCTTGCTTCATGCCGTGCCGCATCCTCCTGCCTTCTTTCGCCGTTTCCCCTCATGCTTTTTCTAGGCTCATTGGCCGACTGTGGAACTTCCAGGAGCCCCCAATAAGCTGCACGCATCCTGCGCGCGATGAGCATGCCAGCTACCTTAAGGAAGGCTTAAACAGTGCTTGTGCAAGAAGGGGTATTCAAGACCAGGGGTGACTTTAGATTGGCTGTGGCTGGCCTATCCTGTGTTTCGAAAGCGCCCCAGTCGCAGGGCGACGTTGTTCAGCTGCTTCTTCTTTAAGCAGGAACTATGCTCACGTGCCTTGCCGTTTTCGTTCTTGCCCATAAAAACATCGGTTCCCTCTGCGAGTGACAATGAGCTCATCTTTCAGAATGTCCAACGGACCGGCCACACAGCCCCGTGTCCTGCAACAGCCCAAAACTCAGCCTTAAACCATTCATCACGGTGCCCCCGACCCCATCTCTCAGCGAAAAGCATAGCCTCTGTTTCATTGAGGAGATCAGATTAGGGGGATTAAAGCTAAACCTCCCCCTTTCCCTGCCCGAAACAAAAGATTCTGCTAAGGTTCGAAGCTGTGTTGTTGAGTGACTCTTAACTTACCGTAAACCCTAAACCCCAAACCCGATAAGCCCTAAACCCTAAACCCGAAACCCTTAACCCTTATGCGAATGTCCGAGGCTATGGTTTTGAACGACTCAGGGGGAAACTCTCCTGCGTCTTCATGAAATTGACCTCAGAGCGGACCTCCCAAGACCTGGGCTTCAGCGTCTGCAGTTTAGGGTTTAGGGTTTAGGGTTTAGGGGTTCTTCTGGCCTCACCGAAACCTGAAAGCTGAAGCTGCTAGGGAAAAGGGTCTAATGTGCGGCTTAGGATTTGGGGCCCAGCTGTGCAGCAGTGAACTGAAAAGCTTGGGGCTTGGGTTTTGTCTACTTGTTTTGTTCGCAGTTCAACTATACTCCCCTTAGAACCTCAAGAAAAATAGTAATTTCAATATCCTCTTGGGTTTTATGTAATAAATCCCAAGGAGGGTATTGTCAACTTCAGGCCAGCTCGCCACAAACTAGCTCCCGCAGCCAGAGGCTTCCAGCGATCGGATGAGCCCTTGTGGGCTTACAGGGGGCTTGTTCCGCCCCACAATCCCCATTGATAATAATGAACAACAATCTCATTCTGATTTTTAGCCATTGACAATTCCTCATTAATTTCACCCGAGAGCTCAAAGAAATCGCATCGGATAGAAGCTGTTAGCAAAGCTAAACCTTGGGCTAGTGAAGGCCTAGGATAGTAAAGAAAAGAGCCTTCACACATCTTGTGTGCGTCGGTGGTGACTATGGTCCCATTCCACATGGACATGGAGACGGCAATGCCAGGAGTTGGCATTGAAGACTAGTGGCGAACGCCAAACCTGAAAATGCCCAAGCCAGCCTCAACCACACACATTCAACTCCAATCACCTCAAAGCCCGAACACGTCCCAACACCCTAGATCCCTGCAGCCCATTCGCAGTGGCCCATCGCCCGTATTGGCGACATCAAAGGTCACCTCAGCAGTGCTCTTGCCAATTCCGATGATCAGAGCATTCGCGCCGCCTTGTCTTCATATCCCAGCAGGTCATGGACATGTCAGCATGAAAGACAAGCACGTGCAGGAAGCCATCTGTCAAACAAAACCTGAAAGACAGCAAAAGCTTCGTCTTTGCCGCCGCCCATGGTGACTCTGTTATGCTGCTGACACGATGTAGAGGCTGCTCTGAAGCTCAGGAGTTGCATCAAGCAGCAAGGCTTCTACAAATTCGTGCAGCGCCTGGATTGAGTCACAGGCCTCTAGTCGGATTCCCAGCAGTTTATGCACAGGAATGCTTTCCTGCCACCACACAGTAATTGGCAAATGGGACAAAATGTGCTGTAGCATGGTCGGCTGGGCAGTCAGCAACGACTCCGGAACACATCGCGACAGCTGTCTGTCTGCCTCTCACTCTGTCTCACAATCGAATTAGCTGCAGAAGCATGGCCTGCACGAAGGGTACCGGTCACCGGTACCCTTCGTGCAGGCCATGCTTCTGACCGGTCCCTCCTTCCGGCCGGCCGCACCGCGCTTAACATCAAGGGCATGGGTCGGGAGCGGTGCAGATGTCCGCAATGATTGCGCAGCCTTCGGGGGTGCGTGGATTGTGTGGGGACAGGTGGGGAAAGGAAAGCCTTGAAAGCTGTCCCGGCTGTTGCTCGTCTGCATTCGTCTGCCTTTTGCGTTGAACCTTTCCGGGCCAGGTGAATTTCCAGCCATTCCAGTGGAACGGCTGAAAATTCACCTGGCCCGGAAAGACACGCGAGCTTGGAGGAGCTGTGCGCGTTCGCGCACGGAGCTCCTTCTGCCGGTGCGCGAACCCGTACAGCTTCTTAGCAAACTATAAGGACGTCTCCCGGACGTGTTGCTGTGTTGAGCATCAGCGATCTATCTAAAGGCTCCAGGAAGGAAGGAGAGGCAACTCCAAACGCGCGGCTCTCCACCAGCCAAGGCACCCAAGCGAATAAGCAACTGGACCCATTGACGGCGGTTCTGAAAAACGGCCTCGCCCAAGGGGGAGCTTCCATTCGGAGGAGCTGCGTTGGGCAGCGCTGCCGCTCCGAGCGGCCTGGTGTAACGCCAGGGTCTTCGGGTCGTTCAAAATCTCCCTGAGAGTTTTGTCTGCTGGCCCAGGTGCTCTTTTCCCCATGCCAAGATGGCCTGGCAGCCGTCTGGGTTCAGTTCGGCAACTGCGGCCAGCAGCTCCCGGCGTACCTCAAAGTCTCTGTGGCCGGAGTGCTATTTCACATAGGCCATGACGTCGGTATTCAACTGCAACTCACACACCATGTCCTCGATGTCTGCCTTTTGCGTTGAACCTTTCCGGGCCAGGTGAACTTCCAGCCGTTCCAGTGGAACGGCTGAAAATCCACCTGGCCCGGAAAGACCCGCGAGCTTGGAGCAGCTGTGCGCGTTCGCACACCGGCAGAAGGAGCACCCGTACAGCTTCTTCGCAAAACTATAAGGATGTCTCCGGGAACATCGAATGGTCATGCCCGCCTGCTGTTGACCGGACGTGTTGCTGTGTTGAGCATCAGCGATCTATCTAAAGGCTCCAGGAAGGAAGGAAAAGCAACTCCAAACGCGCGGCTCTCCACCAGCAAAGGCACCCAAGCGAATAAGCAACTGGACCCATTGACGGCGGTTCTGAAAAATGGCCTCGCCCAAGAATGATCTTTCATTCAGAGGAGCTGCGTTGGGCAGCGCTGCCGCTCCGAGCGGCCTGGTGTAACGCCAGGGTCTTCGGGTCGTTCAAAATCTCCCTGAGAGTTTTGTCTGCTGGCCCAGGTGCTCTTTTCCCCATGCCAAGATGGCCTGGCAGCGGTCTGGGTTCCGTTCGGCAACTGCGGCCAGCAGCTCCCGGCGTACCTCAAAGTCTCTGTGGCCGGAGTGCTATTTCACATAGGCCATGACGTCGGTATTCAACTGCATGTCACACACCATGTCCTCGATGTCTGCCTTTTGCGTTGAACCTTTCCGGGCCAGGTGAACTTCCAGCCGTTCCAGTGGAACGGCTGAAAATTCACCTGGCCCGGAAAGACACGCGAGCTTGGAGCAGCTGTGCGCGTTCGCGCATCGGCAGAAGGAGCACCCGTACAGCTTCTGCGCAAACTATAAGGACGTCTCCGGGAACATCGAATGGTCATGCCCGCCTGCTGTTGACCGGACGTGTTGCTGTGTTGAGCATCCGCGATCTATCTAAAGGCTCCAGGACGGAAGGAAAAGCAACTCCAAACGCGCGGCTCTCCACCAGCAAAGGCACCCAAGCGAATAAGCAACTGGACCCATTGACGGCGGTTCTGAAAAATGGCCTCGCCCAAGAAAGATCTTTCATTCAGAGGAGCTTGTCGGGCAGCGCTGCCTCTCCGAGCGGCCTGGTGTAACGCCAGGGTCTTCGGGTCGTTCAAAATCTCCCTGAGAGTTTTGTCTGCTGGCTCAGGTGCTCTTTTCCCCATGCCAAGATGGCCTGGCAGCGGTCTGGGTTCAGTTCGGCAACTGCGGCCAGCAGCTCCCGGCGTACCTCAAAGTCTCTGTGGCCGGAGTGCTATTTCACATAGGCCATGACGTCGGTATTCAACTGCAACTCACACACCATGTCCTCGATGTCTGCCTTTTGCGTTGAACCTTTCCGGGCCAGGTGAACTTCCAGCCGTTCCAGTGGAACGGCTGAAAATCCACCTGGCCCGGAAAGACCCGCGAGCTTGGAGCAGCTGTGCGCGTTCGCGCATCGGCAGAAGGAGCATCCGTACAGCTTCTTCGCAAACTATAAGGACGTCTCGGGGAACATCGAATGGTCATGCCCGCCTGCTGTTGACCGGACGTGTTGCTGTGTTGAGCATCAGCGATCTATCTAAAGGCTCCAGGAAGGAAGGAAAAGCAACTCCAAACGCGCGGCTCTCCACCAGCAAAGGCACCCAAGCGAATAAGCAACTGGACCCATTGACGGCGGTTCTGAAAAATGGCCTCGCCCAAGGGGGATCTTCCATTCGGAGGAGCTGCGTTGGGCAGCGCTGCCGCTCCGAGCGGCCTGGTGTAACGCCAGGGTCTTCGGGTCGTTCAAAATCTCCCTGAGAGTTTTGTCTGCTGGCCCAGGTGCTCTTTTCCCCATGCCAAGATGGCCTGGCAGCGGTCTGGGTTCCGTTCGGCAACTGCGGCCAGCAGCTCCCGGCGTACCTCAAAGTCTCTGTGGCCGGAGTGCTCTTTCACATAGGCCATGACGTCGGTATTCAACTGCAACTCACACACCATGTCCTCGATGTCTGCCTTTTGCATTGAACCTTTCCGGGCCAGGTGAACTTCCAGCCGTTCCAGTGGAACGGCTGAAAATTCGCCTGGCCCGGAAAGACCCGCGAGCTTGGAGCAGCTGTGCGCGTTCGCGCACGGAGCTCCTTCTGCCGGTGCGCGAACCCGTACAGCTTCTTAGCAAACTATAAGGACGTCTCCCGGACGTGTTGCTGTGTTGAGCATCAGCGATCTATCTAAAGGCTCCAGGAAGGAAGGAAAAGCAACTCCAAACGTGCGGCTCTCCACCAGCCAAGGCACCCAAGCGAATAAGCAACTGGACCCATTGACGGCGGTTCTGAAAAATGGCCTCGCCCAAGGGGGATCTTCCATTCGGAGGAGCTGCGTTGGGCAGCGCTGCCGCTCCGAGCGGCCGTGTAACGCCAGGGTCTTCGGGTCGTTCAAAATCTCACTGACAGTTTTGTCTGCTGGCCCAGGTGCTCTTTTGCCCATGCCAAGATGGCCTGGCAGCGGTCTGGGTTCAGTTCGGCAACTGCGGCCAGCAGCTCCCGGCGTACCTCAAAGTCTCTGTGGCCGGAGTGCTCTTTCACATAGGCCATGACGTCGGTATTCAACTGCAACTCACACACCATGTCCTCGATGTCTGCCTTTTGCATTGAACCTTTCCGGGCCAGGTGAACTTCCAGCCGTTCCAGTGGAACGGCTGAAAATTCGCCTGGCCCGGAAAGACCCGGGAGCTTGGAGCAGCTGTGCGCGTTCGCGCACGGAGCTCCTTCTGCCGGTGCGCGAACCCGTACAGCTTCTTAGCAAACTATAAGGACGTCTCCCGGACGTGTTGCTGTGTTGAGCATCAGCGATCTATCTAAAGGCTCCAGGAAGGAAGGAAAAGCAACTCCAAACGTGCGGCTCTCCACCAGCCAAGGCACCCAAGCGAATAAGCAACTGGACCCATTGACGGCGGTTCTGAAAAATGGCCTCGCCCAAGGGGGATCTTCCATTCGGAGGAGCTGCGTTGGGCAGCGCTGCCGCTCCGAGCGGCCTGGTGTAACGCCAGGGTCTTCGGGTCGTTCAAAATCTCCCTGAGAGTTTTGTCTGCTGGCCCAGGTGCTCTTTTGCCCATGCCAAGATGGCCTGGCAGCGGTCTGGGTTCAGTTCGGCAACTGCGGCCAGCAGCTCCCGGCGTACCTCAAAGTCTCTGTGGCCGGAGTGCTCTTTCACATAGGCCATGACGTCGGTATTCAACTGCAACTCACACACCATGTCCTCGATGCTAATGGTAAGCTGCAGGTCCCTGTGGCCGTCCAAGTCCCTTTGGCACCGGTCGTTGAACTCGATGACTGTTACGCTCGCCTTATCTGTACATACCGCCTCCAAACCTTTGTGCACGTCTTGAATGGACGTGTAGGACATCGCGCGGGCCACCATCCTCTACACCGTAGAGGATGGTGGCCCGCACGATGTCCGTCAAGGGGCTACACCTCCTGCGTCTGCTTTCGACTTGCATCTCTCGATGCCCCTCAAGCGAGTTCATGTCGGGCTGGCAGTTGAGCTGGAGGCTCCTGGCTCTCCGCGTCGTCCTTTTCATGAAAGCCTCCACCTCCTGATTGATGGCAAAATTCGGTTCCTGAACTCTTGGCTCTTGCACTTTCACTCTTCAAGGTGTTTCCGCCAGGTGATCTGTGAAACAGGACTGGCTACTGGTGCCTGATGACTTGAAATGGACGGCAGTGCGAAGTGCTTGTAGTATGCAAGGACCACACTGGAAACCGCAGCTGCTTCTCATCGGCGACGTTCCTTCAACGCCTACCCATACGTGTTGCAGGCAATGCGCCATCGCTCGTGCAGCTGAAGTCTTCACGAAGAGTAGCCCTGAAACCCCAAGGTTGGCACATGAACTCAAGCTCCGAGGCCCTGGCGAAAGCTGGATGTTGCGCTGTCGGCGGCTGGCCCGTGTATGCGCGCATCTGGGACAAGGAGCTGGGCTCAGTTTTCCGAGGCGGTCTGTCGACGAGGCATGCTTGGACCCTCCCACAGAGCGCAATCATTCGAAAGCCGGCCCACGCCAGCTCCTTGGAGACCCAAGGCCAGCCAACGCTCGGAACCTTAAACCTCGCATCCCACGACCCGACTTGTCACGGCTCCCAAAACCCCCGTTCAGCCCTGAAAGTCCCAAACCCTATAAATTGCCTATAAACCCGAAAAAAACCCTGACCCGAAATCCTATACACCCCAAACCCTATAAAACCCATAAACCCTAAATCCTCGCCATGGGATCGAGCGGCTCCCTCCCAGCGAAGCGCCACACGTACGTCCTCGCCGCCCTGCAGGCGAGCCAGAAGCCCTTGCCCTTGCTCCTGGGATTCGGCTTTCGGGTTTCTGCATCACCATCTCCAAGGAGTTACTATAGTTTATAAACACAGCATTGCAAGCCCGGGACACAACCACAGCAAACACCCCAAACCCCCCGAACCAACACCGCAACACCGCAAGGTTTTGGGTTTGGGGGGGGGGGGGGGTAAACTTCAAGATTCGCGAAGTCTCTCATCTCTCATGTGCGAATGCGTTCTGAGGCCAAGAGGAAACTCCTACACCCCCAAAACGCAAAAAAAAACCCTAGAAAGAACGGAGCATCTCCTTGCTCAAGTTTTGGGGCGACAAGCATGGCAGGGCTAGTGAAGAGGCTGGGGAGTTTGAGCTTCAGCAACTTGGGGTCCTTGGGGTCCGCGGACGGGATGGGTTGAGAGATGCAGGCTTGTGGGGTTTCAGGTTTCGGTTTCGGGCTCAAAAGGATAAAGTGCAAACTAGATAACTTGAGCCTCGCAGCACATCAAGACCCTGAAAGCCTAAGCCGTCGTGGGCAAATATCCTTAGCAACGCCTGATGTTCTAGACCCGGGAGACACCTGGGAGTATAAGGGAAAAAAGGGCCTACTCCCGGTCCCAGTATTCATGCCTATTTTCCTGGTGGCAATTTGAAACTTCAAACTTGGTGTAAGGAGTGACGATTTGAGAGCCCAGCCTGCCTGGGATAGCAGGAAGCCGGGGACGTCTGGAAACGCTGCGTTGCTGGGCATTGACATCCTAAGTTCAGGCAAGAGGACGTGATCTCTGGCAAAGGACCCTCCCAGTCCGGCAGGGTCGTTCCAATGAATTCCAATGCTCGGTACGACTGGAAGGTACCGGTGTGGGTTTGATGGCTCGCAGCGCCCCGACAGCCCTGTGCGAAAATTCATGGCCTTTCAAACTCAATAAGAGGTGGCAGAGTGCATAGACAGGACTGGGCATTTCCAGCTCAGGAACATGTCCCTTGTTCGGGGAACCAGCTTCCTGCCCCTCTGTTACAGGTTGCTGCGCGGCCGGCATTCTTATGCATGCACTTGGCTGAATATCAGACGTCTACCACACAGAACCTGCACCGCCCAGTGGCATCTGCAATGTCGTCGGCGCCTGCATAAGATGGTCAACACAAAGGTCACTGTAGAGCCCCGATTAGACTCCGACCTCTCCAAGGCAGACTAGCCAAGCATAACGCACGTGTTTCGCACGAGGCTGTAGCTCGTCAATATTGCATAAGGAACTGCACCTGGTTACTTTTCTGCAAAGGTCCCGAAGCAGGATTTTACGCTGTCTCCGATCCTGCCTGGTTGTCATAGATCAGAATCCTGAGCTGACGCATCTAGGAATCAAGGAACTGAGCTGGCGATGAGCATGAACCTGTTGAAAGCTGCATCTCCCAAGAAACCGCTTTCGTGGATGGGTTGCACAGGACTCATCCCCAGTTCGTCTGTTTAAAAACCTTGAAGCCACGACATCCTCGAAACTCGGTGTTGAGAACTCGTCCCTACAAGGCTGGGAGCCTCTTCTTTCCAGAAGCATCTAGTGCTACCTTGCGAACCGATGGCCTACTTTTGTTTTTGTAGGCTGCTTAAGAAGGTCAGCAATTGTGCACTCCTTTTCTGGCGTGTACTTGCGAAATCCTATATTGCAGTAACGACAAGGAGGCCATGTTCGCGCACCACATGTGCTTTGCAGTTGCTGAGTTGGAAGAAGCCCAGAAGCTGCCAATTTGGTTGGGAGGAGAGGTTCGCGGCATCAGGCTTTTCATTCCCTGCCGTGGCATCTGACACAGCGCATGAAGCTTGAATTTCGTAGAAGTACGTACCACCCCCTGAACCTTCTCGGTAAAATAACAGCTCGTCCGAGTAGCCCGACCGCCCCAGCGTTAGCAGCCTGTGAGACGAACCAACTCGGGAGATAGGAAGGAGGAAGAGGGAGTGTTTGCTTGTGCAAAAAGTCCAGGACGTATGCGAAATTCAAGTACTCGTGGGGCCCCGATCAGATCAGCCTCTGAGGAGCCAGAACAGGAGCTGAGCCTTTTAGCTTTTGCATGACTGGCGGTCTCACATTGGCGACCTTGCTATGCACCTGTCTCGCTTTGAAGATTTTAGAGTTTAGGGCCTTGTGGCCTTGTCTAAGAAAATTGTGTATCGGCAAGAACGGTGAATGCACGGGGAGAATGCCGGTACAGGGCTGGATTGACTCCGAACTCCTCACCCAAACCCCCCCCCAGCCCCGTCTCCATGCAGCCTGTTGCGCTTTCTCAGAGAAATAGCAGGTGCCGCGAGACACGAGGACAACTTTCCCAGCAACCTGGCTGCGCATCAGTGTGAAGTGTGAACCCCCCGTAGACCATTTTGACCGAGATTGACGTTAAAGTTGTCCTCCATAGGGGTATCTAATCCCCGTTCAAGATATGCTCCTCGGGGCTTGGGCAACGAGACTTGCAAGCCCTAAAGTACATGTAGGGGCCCCCGAGTTATAAATAGGGGTTATAAGTTATGAGGGCCCTAAATTGGTTTTTATAAGTCCGACTCTTCAAGTTGTAAATCCCTGAGCTAAAGCTAGTAAGGGGGCCCCTACACTAGGAGCTGATCAGCCCAGAGTTTGCAACCGGGGCCCCCCCCTGAAGTCCTCGAAGACAGCCCAAAAATCTTTCTATGTCCCATAAGCCCTCAACCCTAAACCCTTTTGAACCTGGAAGCTGCTTCATGCCAACCCTAAACCCTCAACCCCTAAACCGCCTATAAATCTCCCAGGGCTCTCAAAAACCCCCAAACTTCATGGAGCTCTCCTAAGGCCCAAGAAACGAGGAGAGCAGAGTGCGGATCGCAGCCCTCACCTTCGGCTCTATTTAGGCTCTTGGGGTATCTTGGGGTTCATAGGGTTTTGTAGGACTTCTTGGGTAGGGTTTATATAGGCCTACTTGGGTTTATTTATTTGGGCTTGTTTGGGTTTATTTGGGCTTGTTTGGGCTTATAGCGCTTAGGCTTTGGGCTCCAAGGTTTTAGCCCACACAGAGAGGCCGTACAAGCAACACATAAGGGCTTGACCTCCCCTGTAGTTCCTTTTTGCGTATAGTAAGGTCGCGGTTTCCCAAGAGGACTTTCAGTAAACCACCACCAAAAGGTGCTACGCACGAGCCTGTAGGCAAGAGTTTATACCAGTAGGGCTTAGGGGCTCTGGGCGCTCAAGGGTGAAAGGTTCGAACCGTCGTTGACCGTAGCCTCAGAAGACTTATTGTCAGCTCAGTTTTGTCAGTGATGGTGCCATTTTAGTCGAATTTGCTGGGGTACCCAGAAATTCAAGAGCCTGAATTGAATAAGGTTGTCAAAGTTCCCTTCGGAGGTCTAAAGTGACAAAAGAAACAAGGAGGGGTTGACACGGAAGCGTTTTGACGGGAGATCTCACTCAGTGAGCCCGCATACGGCTGGGAATCCTGGCGCCATGGCTCGACTGGGTCGGTCACATGCCAGCGACCCTCTCTGCCAGCGCCGCGAGATCCGCTGCCAGGTTGGGCTCTTTGCAGTGTTGCCGGGTAAGGCCCGAAATGAGGTCGTACTTGGCCCAAAGCTCCGACAGCCCCTCCTTGAGCTCCTGGATGCGCTTGATCTCGAGGGACGAGGTTTTGGACGCCTCGCACAAGGCGCGCAGCACCTGCCCTTTGTCCAAGGCCCCCCGGCGCTCGACATCCCAATGTCGAAACCAGTCTTGAAGATCGGAAGAGAGCGCGGGCGCCGGGCCCCTCTTGGCTGCATTCGCCAGGTCATGCTGGTGTGCACGGATCCACTCAAGGAGGCCCCCTTTCGCAAAGAACTCGTGCTCGGTAATGGGGCCCTTGGCCCAAGTAGCCCATCCCCCCGAGATGGACTCGTGGAGACGTTCCGTGTCAATCGGGAGCAGGGCCTCCAATGCTTGCACGGCCATGTTTTGGCCTATCTCCCCAGATCGACTCACGTCCAGAAACTGAAACCAGAGCCGGGGATTGACCGCGATGTCAGGCATGGGCATGACCTCGTGAGCGGTAGCGCGGCAAGTCGGACAGAAGTACTCGCTGGCCTGCGTCTGCTGCTGCTTCATGTACTGCTGGCTGGCACAGTCAAAGCAGAAGAAGTGCGCGCAGATCACGTGAAACACGCTTTGCCCACCACCTTCGACTAACTTGACAAAAGCCGTGGGCGTGGATGTCCAAAGCGTCTCCAGGCAAATTGGGCACTCAGCTGTCCGATCCTCCAACAACACGCTTGGCTGGACCCAGGGATCGATATCCTGGCCCAGTCGCCTTAGCAACGGCTCAAGGAGGTCGTTGAAGCCGGGCTGGTTCTTGTCTGCCTGGTCTTGAGCAAAGCTCATGAGCGGTTGGCCATGAAGCGTGGCGGTGGCGCTCGCGCCCACGTGGAGCAGGATTCTCGCAACGTTCAGCCACTGCGGGTCCTCCACAGCACGCTCCAGCATCAGGCCCAGCACGGAGTCCTCGGAGGCATATGGTGGCACATCGAGGAGTTGACTCCGAGAGTTCTCGCCTCGAAGGTTAACGGAAAGCCCAATCCAGATTGCGAGCTTCTTTGCAAGGCTCGGAAGGTTCTGCTGCAGGCTTGCTCGCCACAAAGCCGAACACGTGGCAGGGGGCAGCAAGGCTCGTCGAGCTTTGCCACTCTGGCACAGCTCAAGCACCAGCAACAGAAAGTCCGGTGACCAGTCGCTGGTGACGGGCTTGGAGAAGGACGACCTCGACACCTCCTTTGGGGGAAGGGGTGGTGGCGAAAGAGCACCAGTCGACCCAGGTGAGCTGCCTGGAGCACCAAAGTGACTCGAAAGTTGTGGCGCCATGTCATCAAGTCGTCCAGTGCTGTCCTTGCGCCTCAGGACTTTGCAGACCTGTCCTGCGAGGCGCAGCTGGTCCTTGCTGAGGCCCAGCAGCTTGACATCCAAACCAAGGACTTCGTCACCAGAGCCACGCTCAACCGCGGCGGTGAGGGGCGAGCGCAGGTCCTCGGCCACGGATCGGAGACTGCAGCATGCCTCAATGAGTGGCTGCACATATTTCCAGTGGCCGCCCTCCACAGCCAGGCGCAGTGCCGTCTTTCCCTGGCTGTCCACGGACGCGAAAGCCTGAGGAACCCCAGCCGCTGCAGACCAGCCTCTGGAGGGCTTCAGCGCATCCAGGGCATCATCCAAACCGCTTTGGGCTTCTGGCTGGCGGAGCTGGGACACGATCCGCTGCACGAGGCTCCGGGCCATCAGAGCCTGTGCTTCGGCTGAGAAAAGCCGGCCGATGCTGAGCACCGCAGTGGCCATCTGCTTCTGGTGGTCCTTGGCTGAGAACAAGGGCACGTGGCCCGGCAGCACCGGCACGGGAAGCGGCTCCGAAACGACAAAGGCATTCGGCCCGACAATGCCCGTGGTAACCACCTTGAGCTTACAGGAGATGCCCTTGGATGCCAAGTCCAGGAGAGATGGCGGCAGCACCACGCGGACCAGCCCATTGTTTTGGGAGGCCTCAGGTACCCAGGCGCGGTCGTGGCAAACGAGGCCCAGCTGGGTCTTAACGCTGATCTCCTTGGCCTTGCCGACTCTGTTCTCAGACACGACGGTCCCAAAGCGAAAGCCGATGACCAGCCTTGTTGTGCCAATGTCCGGCAGCCCTTCCACGCTCCGTAGCCGAATTCCCACCGCAGCTTCTGATGCAACACCCTTCGCTGGAAGGACGGAGAACGGAATGAAGAGCTCACCTTCAGTAACGTGATTGCGTGAATCGGAGCGACCCGCCATGTCAGAATCATGGGTGAGGCAACACCTCCACACCCAACCTTAGGAGCCAGGCCATTAGTCCATTGTCCATGGCGTCCAAGCTGAGGGCTCAGGATTTCGCATGACTTTTTGGGGTTTCGGCGTGTCAGCCAGCGTCCCCCTGATGTCAAGAGAGTGGTTCGGCGCCTTACAGGGTGGAGGCTTCGAATGTGCCTTTCAACTTGAAAAGCCACAACACAACATCTCCCTAACACTATGACATGACACAGCGGGTAAGTCCCATTGGCAATTTGACTGTCAGGCTGCGCTCTCTGGAGGGGGATGCTACAACGATTGCTGCTCCACCTGCGTTAGCTATCAAGGGACTGCGCGCAACGGGTGCGGAAAGAGATGACGAGTATGTCTGCAGCCACAACAAGAACTGCATGAAGGCACTCTGACATGAACTGCAGCCCCACCCCGCATGGATCATCTGCCCATGCAACCTTTGGCTTCTTCGACAAGTGACTGTTGCTACCGGACGGCAGGACCTGGGCACATGCCGCGAAAGTGGGTTTAAACAATCATGTCTGCATGTTTCTTCGAGTACATGGCCTAGTAGAGGCCTCCTGTTCAGAGCACAAATAATTTGAAGTCAAAGCAGTCGGAGGACGTCCGCCCAAGGGCAGCGGAAACACCCCGAGACTTTGTCGTTGCGACTTCTAGCATGCACCCGCAGCTTGCAAATGGCACCATGGCTGCAAGAGCAGGAGCCTGACTAGACAGGACAGGCAGGCCCATTCGCCAAGAAACAGCATGCTAACTTTGTTACATTGCCCTCCGAAGGCAGAAAGAAACCTGAAAGCGCCAGGCAGACTGCAAACAAGGTGCCAGGTCTGCTTCAAGAGAACCACCCGGCACATAGGGCTCCTCTTAAGGGCCCCAGGCACAACATCTGGATTTGCGTTTTCCGTTTTCCATGCGGGCGCGTGGTTACTCCTCAACTGTTCCATGACAGAAACGTCTGTAATTGAACCAACGCGGCACGGGGAGACGCTCCTGCTCAGAAGGTGCACATTTTCGACTTTTTGGGGCAAGACGTCGGAAGCCCGGTCCCACATCGCAGGGACGCAGGGCTGGAAGGGCGACAAGTGCGTCGAGGTGGAGAGGACCTGCAGCTGCATGATGCCCGAACCCTTGCGGCCTCTCCTCTTTAAAAAGGCCACAAACAGAAGGGTCACCCGAAGACGAGAAACCTTGTGTGGCGGGCCACTTTTGAGGCGTCTTCTGAGGGTTGGGGAGGTTGTGTAGGCTAAGAATTTCAGACGGGGATACCGTAGGAGCGGCCATCGGAATCTCCAAATATGTGGTACCCTAAACCCTAAACCTAAACCCCAAACCCAAAACCAACCAAGAACCTCCGCAGCTCCCGTGAAATTCTCCACGGTGAGGGCAGGCGGCAAGGTGCCTCGGTGGCTTTCAGAACATTCGAAGTCAGGATCCTTGCTTTTGACCCGAAAACCCGAAGCTGCCAGGGTTTAGGGTTTATAGGGTTTATAGGGTTTATAGGCTTTAGCAAACCCCCCCCCCCCCCGCCCCCTGCCCAATATGCGCCCAGCCACCAGTGCAGTTGATTTGCAGCATCAGGACCTGCGACGCTTTGCAGCCACAGCACCGGCCCTAGTCCTAGTAGTAGTAGTAGTAGTAGTAGTAGTAGTAGTAGTAGTAGTAGTAGTAGTAGTAGTAGTAGTAGTAGTAGTAGTAGTAGTAGTAGTAGTAGTAGTAGTAGTAGTATTAGTAGTAGTAGTAGTAGTAGTAGTAGTAGTAGTAGTAGTAGTAGTAGTAGTAGTAGTAGTAGGAGTAGTAGGAGTAGTAGGAGTAGTAGTAGTAGTAGTAGTAGTAGTAGTAGTAGGAGTAGTAGTAATAGTAGTAGTAGTAGTAGGAGTAGTAGGAGTAGTAGGAGTGAGTAGGAGTAGGAGTAGGAGTAGGAGTAGGAGTAGGAGTAGGGATAGGAGTAGGGATAGGAGTAGGAGTAGGAGTAGGAGTAGGAGTAGGAATAGGAGTAGGAGTAGGAGTAGGAGGCAGCAGCAGCAGCGAACCACGAATCGAACCCTGAACTACCAAAGCCTCACTTGATTCCTCTGCGAGGAACCACCATGGTGCTGCCAGTAGAAGCCAAGCTTTTTGCCCGAATCACCGACTTAACCTAGTTGCACCCGACGACCCCCAAACCCTGAATCCAAATGCCTTCATATCCTGAGCTTGTAACCTCTCAGACTCCTTAGGGTTTAGGGTTTAGGGTTTACGGTTTGGTTTAGGAACCCATGGATCCTTAGCCCACCCCCTTAGACCAAAAAACTCCACAGCCGAAAGTGTCCTCGCCGAGGTCCGTAGCATTGGCCAGCGTGGAGCTGAACGGGTCCAGCCCAGCATTCCTGGAACGAGACATGCCAAGGGTTTAGGGTTTGGGGTTTAGGGTTAAGGCCATTCTGCTGAGAACTTCTGAACCATAGTTTAAAGTATGATTTTGTCAACTTGACCGCCGAGAATGGGACTGGGTTCTGTGGGGCATATATGCTACAAACCACACCAGGCAACTCACAACAAAAAACGACGCTGGGATCAAGGGCTTGTTGGCATGGCTGCTCTCTCTCCAGCATGCTGAAAAACAGAAAAACAAGTGGTCCCTGCGTTCCTCCCTGGCCCTCTCCCTAGGGTCCCTAAGCGCCTCCTCAATTCGGCTTTTTTTTTGCCACCCGACTAGCCACGGCAAAGCGGGGTCAATTCGGCTTTGGGCTTTGGGGTTTGGTCTTCGAGCCGATGCCCAGCGCAGCCCCGATGTTTAGCACGAGGTATGTGTGCATAAGCATAAGCATAGCAGCGCTTTAAGCGAAGACCATTCATGCAGGTCGGGCTTTGGAGCCTGCCACCTCAGGCTTCCAACTTCGAGGCCTGCTATCCCAAACCCCACACACTTCCTGCAGATCAACCCCCCAAAAACCTGTGGGTTGCCAAGGCAAGCGGCGTGCGGAAGACTGCCAGGGCTCCGAACTCACCTGTCGGCTGCTAGGAGAAGGCTCGGCGAAGATGTACCACAAACCTCTTCTGGTATCTGCTACGTAGCAGCAACCGAATTCTTAAGCTGCACCTGTGGAAAAGGACGCGATGCGCCTCAGGCATCCTGAAAAGCCTTGAGCCAGACCACCTATTTGTACCCGAAACCCTCGAAACTATTTCTTGAACCCAGGCTCAATCCTGTCCATGAAACCTATAAACCCAAAACCCCTTTTTGCAACGGGCATCGCGGGTCACGTGCCCCCCAAACCCTATCACCCCAAAAGGGCCAAAAGAGGTCCCCGAAGTGCCCGCAGGTTCAACATTCAGGAGTATAGGCCCAGTGTCTTGAAACCTTACTTCAGGGTTTAGGGTTTAGGGTTTCGGGTTTAGGGTTTCGGGTTTCGGGTACTTCCTAGGCCCTGAACAACACACCTGAGTTGCTCCCCCAAAGCACCCGGAGCCGATGGCCGGCAGTCGATGTGCACCGTTGCTGTGGCACCCGCAGCTACGGTCAGAGCTTCGGTGGCGCTGGAGAAAGGTGGCCTCGACGCGTTGCTGCTTTTGGGAAGGTCGGGATGGAGCTTGGGAGTTTGCGGAAATGGCGGGTTAGGGCATGTTAGGAAGCGTTTGGTATTTGAAGCGGGTGTTTAGAGTGGGTTTTCATACAACCAATGCCACTCCTACTTCCGGATTTGAGGCTTGGGGTTTGAAGGCGGCCTTTGGCGGCTTTCTTAGCGACGAAAACACGAATGCATACGGCCACTGGGGCGACGTCACGATGCAATCTGCCGACGCACGGAAACCCCAACATGCATCTTTCTGAGAAGTCCGTGAAAACCGTAAGAGAAGTTCACCAAGCTTAACGTCACAGTGATCGCCCCACACGAATGCCATTTGTGTGTGCAGTGACTACTTCAACAACCTTGCCAAGACTGAAGAGGTATGCTTACACGCCCGTCAGCTGGCACAACTTGAGGTGTCTGTAACCACGCGCTTCTACGCATGGCGTTGCCCGCAGCCAGGCGTCGAAAGCGGCTCCAGCAGGAGCTGGCCTGTACCATTTCCTGACAAGACACCCACAGATAACTCGATCAAAACGTCCAACCCCAATTCAAGCCGATTCTCGTTGGTCGGGGCTCACGGCTCACGCCCAGGTCCCGGCCTATCCCACGAAGCACTAAGCTCGACCGAAGACGGAACCTAAGAACGATAAGCATCGAAGAAGTGCTCAAGTCATCCCCTGCCTGAATTCGAAATCGTGGCGGAGACCGTCGAGGTAGCGTTGGTCGTCACCTGTGCAGTGGGGGGGGGGAGCTTCGAATCAGGGATGTTCGAGACCTCGCTCTCTTTCTTCCTTCCTTCCTTCCTTCCTTTCTTTCTTTTGCTTCCTTTCTTCTGTCCTTCTTTCCGTCCCTCTTCTTTCCTTCCTTCCTTCCTTCATTTCCTTCCTTCCTGCGCACTTTAGCCGACCCCGCCCAAAGGCGTGCGTCACCGAGCCGACTGTCCCCGACTGCAAGCCTGAAGTATCGCCTAACTCCCCCCCAGGATGAACAATCACGGGCCCCCCTGTGGGTTTAGGGGTTTACTGGGTTTAGAGGTAAACAATGCTGTGGCCAAAACGTGCTCTCCTGTCAGAGTGTACCGATGTAGATCGCCCTCGACAAAGGCCACCAGCAAAATTGGGCAAGACAACTTCGAAATCAAAACACAACACCCTGGACCCCCGAGGGAGAGGGGGGGATGTGAGACAATCCGCGGATGTCCTGGCAAAACGAAAGCATGTACCGTCCTTTCAAGGATTGCGGAGTGCAGCTACAATACAAACCCCATCACATGGTGCCTCCCTCTGCAACCGACCCTCTCTCTCTCTCTCTCTCTCTCTCCCTCCATCCTTCTCGACGGTGCCTGCGTCTCAAGGGAGCTGGGGCTCAGCTGAAGCTCCACGAGCCCTTGAACAGTGTAAGTGACCTTGCAGGAGCTTTGCAGGAGCTTCAGGCCACCCTTGAAGAACTCGGCTACCCCAACCACAGCAGAGAAAGGAAATGAGAAAAGGCGGCGCGTGCTAATTCGAATAGATGCAACTCAGATTTGCTGCTGGGGAAGTGATGTACCTCTCCGCAACATAGGGCTTCCTAGCCGATCTCCCTAAACCCTAAACCCTAAGCCCTAAACCCTAAACCCTAAACCCTAAACCCTAAACCCCTTTAAGACTCAGCTGCAAGCAGGTTGCGGGGACGACCGCCGATCCGTTCGGCCAGCTTACGCTGACCTGCGCCTTCGGCATGGTGTGGGGATGCTTCGGATGGGTTCCCCCATACTTTCAGGGGCCCAAGAATATGGTTTCTACAGAACCCCTCACAACACATTAGTTGCCATTACTTAGGTCCCTCGAAGGATATATAGGTCATGCGCAGCTTCTCCTAGAATGGACCCTTCATCTGGCCACCGGAAGCCCTGAAGAAAATCCAAGAAGCCCTGAAGAGCTGCCTTCAAAACATGAAGCAACTGAAGCCCTCAAGCCCAACAAGGCCTCCAATACCCAAGACAGCACTTGTGTATATCAAGCCAGCTTTTGCAAGACACAAGCCAAATTCCCTGGCAGCCTCCCGCACGCCACTGAGAACCACTGGCGAGCCCATCCTCGATACAGCCACTCTCGCTCGTCAGGCGTCAGGGCCGTGAAACGATCGAGTCTCTTATTCTGACGGCTCCACATTAACAGCACATCCTGCGGGCTGTGAGCATGGTGCTGTGAGGCTTGGTGTCAGGACCGGGAAATGTTAAAGCCCGCACTGTCTCTCTAGGGTGCGAAGAAGAGCACCACTCATCTTCACAACTCGAAAGCCGTGACCTGCAAACGCCTGGACAGAGAACAATAGAAGCTTGGAAGAAGCTCGAAACGTATTCTCCTTCTCAAGCTCTGCATGAATCCCCAACGGACCTCCAAACCTGAATGGAATGAACCTTGAGAGCCACATTCCCCACAGCGTGTCGCAGCCTGGTGAGCCCGTTGCAGCCCGGATTCTGCACGGCCACTTGCACCGTGCTCTGGGCTGGAACATTGACCTCCCCGAGATTTTTCCAAGGGATCTCCCGGTGGATTGACGATTTGGGACTTTGTGACCACAATGAACTCATGCCTTTTTGCTCTTGGACGGCCACCACAAGCATCTATACATGCTAACTGCAGAGGCTCGCAGTGCTCGTCGAAGTCGAGGCACTGTCGCCCGGGCGGACTTGTTGCCGCCTTCCGGCACGAGCCAGAACCTGAATCTGGGTTTGCTGGCGTTCGGCTTTCATTTTTGTTGGAAGACCTTGCGTGTTCAGCTTTGCTGACCTGACTGTGCAGATTTGACGTTGACTGGGACGCCGGGTGGGCGGCACCTGCCTGGCGCCCCGGCCCTGTCGCTGTGCGCATGTCTGTGGGGTCCAAGTCCTCTTTGGTTAGGCAAATTCTGAAGATTCTCAAACCCCTCATCCTGCCCCGAAGCCCGCCGAAGCCACATGCAACTCCCGGGAAGCCCTTCGATTCAAGACGAGCTGCAGTGAGTATGCCTCCGCCTCAAAGACTAAGTTCTCAACGTCCAGGATCCCTGTTCAAAGGCTCCGGTAAACCGTTCTACAGTTCTACTCCTTTTTACATGACATAGTCACAAGAACTCCCACCGTAGCTATCGCCAGTACTGTACGTAACGATTCCAACAACGAGGCATCTGCAAAAGGTCGAACATGGCCCTCAGCCAAAGGCATGCCGGACACAAGCAACGAGCACGGTATGCTAGGGTCTGGGAGTTCAGGGAATAGGGGCTTAGTGCGGGGATTCTACAGAACTTGGGGCTCGACAGGCAAAGAATAAGATACGGAGCCTTCCATGCGAAACATTCGGGGGTAGCTCGGTTTTAAGGCACCCCTGAGGCCTATGTATGCCCTGAACCCCTACACCCTCACCTGGGTTTAAGTTTAGAGTTTAGGGTCGCTGAACCCGAAAGTGTGGGGAATCCAGATTTCTGCCTAAACCCTAAGCCCTAAACCCCTTAACCCTCTTAACCCTATAAACCCTAGACCCTAAAAGTCTTAACCCTAAAACCCTAAACCCTAAAACCCTAAACCCTAAAACCCGAAACCCCCAACTGGTCAACCGCCGGCCTCCGGTGCCAACAGCCGGCACCAGGTTGGACAGGGACTCGGTCGAGTCCAGGAGGAGTTGCCTCTTTAGGGTTTAGGGTTTAGGGTTTAGAGCGACAATAGGGGCGTCTGGAAGCCATATTGCTTGATGGTCTGAAAGCTTGATCTGCTGGCAAAAGCTTCAATTCTCAAAATTAGGGTTGCTTTTTGGGGGTACCCTCAACAAGAGGGGCCGCCTTATAACAAGGGACCGGATTTTTTTTGGTTTAGGGTTTAAGATCTTCACCACGAACATTCTGTGGTCCTGGTATACACCAAAGCCCACAACTCCGAAAACATTCTCTGCCAGTTGTACTGTTCGTGCACATGGGGGTTGGTCCAAATCTTGGGCCCATTGCCCCAAACTAGAGGAATTTAATTGCCACGGAACCCCCAAATGAGCAGACTTAGAAATAACCCTAAACCCTAAACCCTAAACCCTAAACCCTAAACCCCCACCCCGCACAGAGCGCCAGGAGCCTAGTCTGATCTCCGCCGAGGTGGAAGGCGCTCATGGCCAACACCGCGGCGCCCGCCACGTGGGGTGTGGCCATGGAGGTGCCACTCAGGGAAGAGTACGAGGACCTGCTGTTGGGTTTAGGGCAGAAAGGGACTAGAGGAAACCCTAAACCCTAAACCCTAAAACCCTTGAAAATTCTGGCCTCTTCTTCTTGGATATTTCGAGGTTTTGTTGTCTAGAAACTCCCCATGTCTCTGCCCCTGAACCCCACTCGCAGCAACTCCGAGCACGGCCATAAACCCATGACTTTAGGGTTTAGGGTTTAGGGTTTAGGGTTTAGAAGCCTAGAATTCATACACCCTACACAACGAGAAACCTTGACAAACCCATTTGAGGTAGTTGGTTCCCTACTTCCCCTAAACCCCATAAAAACCCTTCAACAACTACTATAAGCCCATTTGGGGCACATTAAGTTCCCTGGTTTCCCTACACCCCACCCTAAACCCTTAAACAACTCAACCCTTTTTGGAGGCACTGGGTTCCCTAACCCCAAACCCCACATTAAACTAAGCCCTTCTTGGGGGGTTCATCTTGCAGCTCGGGGCACCCAATCATGGTGCTGTAGATGTCAGAGCCGGGGGCTGCCAAGTGGACCTTTATCCCCACAGTCAGAGGTTTTAGGGTTGTAATAAGGGCCTGAGGCCTAAGGGCTTAAGGGCTTAAGAGGGGTTTTTATGGCTTAAAGGTATGGAGTCTTAGGGTCTATAGGGTCTGCATTAGTCCTGTTTCAAAGCATGCTACTTTCACTGCCGCGCGGCGGTGTCCGGACCGTAGTTCGAATACCAGGCCAGGTTGTCGTCCGCTTGCGTGGCCGCCACGCAGATCATCTTGAGGCGGGTCGGGCTTTCGGAAAGTGTTGCGAGCGAAGCATGACGGAACCCTAAACCCTAACCCTGTTGAACCCAGACTCAACGCAGCAGCAAACCCTAAACCCGAAACCCTCAACTCAGCCATAGAGCCGGACACTAAGACTCGCACGGACGGTAACTTTTCGGAGCAAGGGTAGTCCGGACCTCAGACTGCACAAATCCCCCTTTTCGGGGGGGCTTAGAGAGTTGAGGGTTTAGGGAAAGCCTCTTATTACTTCCAGTGACCTCACAATTGGGCTAAAGGAACCAAAAACTCGGTCCCTACAAGTACAAGGAAAGGCAATTTTTTTCACCAAGCCCCAATGTTCTTACCGCATAAGGAAGCAGTTCCGACTACTGCGCCCAGGAACCAAGTCAAAACGTCATACTTGCTGTGTAAGCTTAATGCCTTATACTTCCATGGCCCTGATTTGGTTGCGACCAGAACCCTTAAGGGTGCTGCAGTTCGACCGTGGAAACGTAGGGCAAGGAAAGCAGACCACCACACGCACGCTTCAGGATACTTCTCATAAAAGTCGGGCAAACTGCAGGGACCTCGTTTTGACGGGCCAGCTTTGCGAAGACTTTGTCGCATGATGAGTCACCCTGACCTGCTTGTTGCCCCTCATACTATGTGACTTTGACGAAAATGCCTCGAACCACTGCTGCAAAATAAAGGAACCTGAATGCAAGGTAAGATGGTTTTCGGGTCGAGACTTTAGAGGTCTGAAACCGAGGTCGTCGGACTTTGGACTGAAAGGTCAGCTTCAAACAAAAGTCTGACTTTCAACCCCTCAACCCCGAACCTGTAGCCTTCAACCTATTATTCAATCTCCCCTGGGATCGCGCCAGGGCGCTGGTATCCAGATCTTTCCTTGCAGAAAACTCGGCACTCCAAGCACAGAGACCCAAGCCCAAAGTGACCGAGAGCCCACAGGGAGAGACTTCCTCTCGGATGCTGAGTTGGCAGGTGACACCTGAACTCCAAGGAGCGCACCCTTACTGCTTGGAAGCCGCCAAGCTGACCCCAAACAGAGCTCCAGCTCCAGAAAAGAGAAGTGCTTTGACTCTGTCAAGCTTCTTTCAGCAATCTTGAGGAGTATATATGAGAGTTTGGCTATGTTGGGCATTGTTCTGCGCTTTGGGCTTGCGTTCTCTCGCAGCATGAGAGGTTTCGAGTGCCGGGGGTCCCATCGTTGCCGGCCGCGGCGATGAACAAGTGGTCAGCCTGCTGATATATCATATAGAATATCTATCTGTCTATCTATCTATACATATAGACATTCCATGTCAATATTTATAGAACTAAATAAAATAAACCTCTGTACATATTTAAATATAAATATACATATAAATATAAATATAAATATATAAATATGAAATATAAATATAAATATAAATATAAATATAAATATACAAATACATCAATATAAATAAACAAATAAATATATATATATATATATACATAGATATATAATATATGAATGAATGACTGAAATACATACAAATACATCAATATAAATAAACAAATAAATATATATATATATATATACATAGATAGATATAGATATATGAATGAATGACTGAATATAAAAAAATATGCAGACATATAGTGTGTTCTAATTACGTATGTCTACACATCTAAATATAATTATGTATATCTGATATATGCTATGTCATGCTGCTTCGTGCAGGGCCGGGCTAAGTCCAGAGAAAACCCTCAACCCCACAACCCTAAACCCGTCTTGCCCTCCTTGCTTTTTACGGGCGGCCTCGGCCGCCCGCTGCATCGCCAGGCGAAGGGCTGCAGACTGGCCCCCGCCACCCCAACCTGGGTGCTTTAGATGGCTTTTCATGTGCCACCCTGCCTCTACTCTCCAGACACAGGGCACCAACCTGCAAAACTGTCGCTCGAGCGGCGCAAATGAGTTGGGGGCCTTGAACTTTCGGGGTGCAGCGTGGATGACCCGGCGGGATGGCGGGGTCCAGGGAGTGGAGCTTTGGAGGAGGCTTGGGACTGTATATGATTTGCATGAAAGTGGGGCGGGGAGCGGGGGAGGGGGGGGGGGGAGAATGGCCTCCTAGTGTCCTCCTAGAGATAGGTTTTCGATTTGAGGTGCTAGTCTGAATATGCTGCATTCTGGCTTGCTTCTCATGTTCTTCCCTAGATCACGCGAGGGCGACCAACACTCCTGATAGCTCTGAATCCTAGCAGTGAAACCTCCCCAGCCTTCTACCAGGCTTCTGTCCAGAGGCTGTTGGACGAAATCTGTGCGCCGTTTGCAAGGGCGTACTCCAGCCTTGCGGAAGGGAGACATTGATGGCGGGTTTATGTCTGGGGCCCGAGGAACCTGCTATACAACCCTTCTTGTGGAACTTGGGGCGGCAGCTTGGGGTCAGAACTACTTCGATGTGGGGTCCGCTGAATCCTGGTGCTCCTGCTTGCTGGCCCAAGACATAAAGCCCTCCGCCATTTCAACCACCTAGGGTTTAGGGTTTAGGGCAAGAAAAGGGTTGCCAAGCTGCGACAACACAGCATCGCTATTGCGGCCGCCATCATTGGAGAGGAAGCGTATGGCCATGATCCGGGCCTCCAAACAGGCTTGGAGGATCCCTGGAATAAGAGAAAAGCCAAGTCTGGCTCCCGCACGTCAACACAGTGCTCCAGACATCAGGGCCACTTCGGAGACTTGCACATGTAGGAAGAAGCCACCCAAGCCCACTTTTTGGCTGAATCAGCCACGTCCCGCAAGATGTCACCCTACCTGCGCGAAGCGGCTCGCTATGCCGGCGACACCAATGCCTCAGGTCATGGCTTGGGTATCCCCCTCCCCACCCACTACAGAAAGCTGTTGCAATCCAGAATCCCGCAGAAGAATGTACACATATTGGGGGAGAGTTGGGTTCAAGATCACCGCGTTAGAGAGTAGAGCTTCAGGTGGGATCGCAAAGGGTGCAAGGCTCGGAGATCGAGAAATTGTGGGCCTTGGAAAAGACAGGCTGAGAACAATCAAAGGCCCAGCTGCTGTTCATATCGAATCTAGGAATGCAGGAATGAACCATGTCTCTCGCTCTCGCTCGCGCGCTCTCTCTCTCTTCCTTTCTTCCAGCCCCTCTCTCTTCTTCCTTCTTCTTCCTGCACGCATGGCCCAGCAGGTGAAGGGGGCCGCCCCATGGGGCGGGTGTCTCTCTATCTCTCTATCTCTCTATCTCTCGATCTCTCGATCTCTCGTCGATCTCTCAATCTCTCTCTCTCTCCCTCTCTCTTTCTTTCTTTCTTTCTTTCTTGGGGGCATCCTCTCTCTGTGGGGCAACACCCCTCTCACTCCCAGCCCCAAAAAAGTCCCTACAGGCAGGTCAAGACAAACTGTCAAGCAGCCGTTGTTTGCAGTGGCTGCGATCACTCCAGCCTGGGATGAAATGAAGTGCGTGCCTCTTTCAAGGGCTTACGGGCGCTCATTTCTCACACTTAAGGCAGGCTAGGGGGAGGGCATGGAGACTCCAAGCTGTGTTCCGCAAAATCGGGTGTCGACGACAAGCGCGGCAGCTTAGTTGGAATTGTTCCGCCTCAAGGTTCAGATTGCAGCTGCCAGAAGAAAGTATAAAGCAAAGGTGCCCCCTGCTCAACAGATGTGGCCTCTCCAAATCTCATGAAGCAAACCGACCAGTGCTCCGCCTATCCCAGGAGTTTTGCCGGATGCCTTGTACCGCACGGTTCGGGCACGGGGTCACAACTTCCGATTGCGCGATCTCGAAAAATGAGGACTTCCAGTTAGTTACATGTGAGGGAGACTGACATGTCCCGAGCGTCCACTCCGTACACCTTTGAAGCAGTTGCACTTTGCATTCAAAGCGTGTGAGCAGCTTCCAGCATTAGAAGTAGAGCTCTGCAAGTCGCATGCGGGGAGGCTCCGCGAGATAGGGTCATACAGAATGCTGGGATGCCCCTGATGGCCGTGGAAGTCAAACCTTGCCCCGGGAATGCGGACCAGTGGCGCAGTGGCTCCCATGACCGTTGTCGTCGTCGGGGTTCCCATTGTAGTCTTGGCGGAAGACCAAAAAAAGGCATCCGAGCCGAAGTTCAACCCTGCTCTCATTTGCCCTAAACCCTAAACCCTAAACCCTAAACCCTAAACCCTATAAACCCTGCACATCTTGGAGCCGGCCTCTGGAGCGCAGCAAATTCAAGTCGCAGGGTGTGAGCGGACAGGACAAGGCTGGTGTGACTTGGGTAGCTTTGGGCTGAGACGTATTGGATAGAACCCTGGAGAATCCAAGCCCGAAACCGAACATCCTAATTAGCTGTCGATCACTGTGGGCTTCAACATGTCGTTGCTCCAAAGGTTGAACTAAAGGCCTCTAAGTAGGGGGAGCCGGAGGCACCGTAGAAGTTGTAGCCATGGACGTCGTCGACGTAGCCGTTGCCATCATCATCTACCTGGCAGCACAAGCAGGCTCTCAAAGCCCAAAAAGATGGTAGAAGCCCCACCAAGCCCTTACGACCTTGTACATGGTTGATCCTTACACGCCGTGATTTATGCAAAGGGAGCTAGAGAAAAATCTAAATCTTCTGGAAGCCCCAAAATGTCCTGACTCTTTGCACCAGGCACCCCATTGCCAGGGATCTCACCAGTGTTGGTCCAGAGCATGTCTCGCAGGTCCTGAGACGTCTAAAGTTGTACTGCTCATCTTTGCGCTACACGTGCACTCCAAAACGATTCTTTGGCTTCATGCATGGCCAAGCTGTTGCGGCTGAAACCTTCGGGATCCCAAACCCTAAACCCTAAACCCTAAACCCTAAACCCTAAACCCTAAACCCTAAACCCTAAACCCTAAACCCTAAACCCTAAACCCTAAACCTAAACCCTAAAGCCCCCCGGGATCTCAAGAACTCTGACAAGCTGGGCACTTTCTGTTCTGTCGGACTGCCCAAGGACTGTCCAAGGGGCGGGATGGTCCAGCTGCACGCCCGTGTCGATCACTGCCACAACCACCTCGCAAGCTGTAGGGTTGAGGGATTTAGGGCTCACGGTAAAACTTAAACCCTACACCTTGAACTTTTAAGGCTTGGGGTTTAGTTTTCTACCTGCTTGTTTTTTTTTTTTGGGGGGGGGGGGGGGGGGGGGGGGGGGGGGTGGGGCCCGTTTAATTTAAGTTTGCTGGGCCGTTCAGGACACGGACGGTGACTGTTTGGGGGTGTGCGGTGGGCAAGTCAAATCGTCCCGGTGTCGTATGAAAATTCCGCGCGGCGCGCCTTTAAAATCGCTGCCCCGTTTAGACTTATGTAACTTACTGTAAATTACCCTTTTTCTCCAAGGAAGGACTCTACCGCAACATAACCCCCAAAAACCCTAAGCCCCATACAGCCCTAAGCCTTTCCAAGGGCCACGCCCCCCAACCTACTGCACATACCCTGAACCCTTGAAGATAATATGGTGGCCTTAATGATTCGTTTTGGGGGTTCCTATAGTAACATTATTCACGGACCATAAGGGAATAGCATTCGCAATTCTTTCCGACCCCCTAAAAGTACCCTGACGGAGCTTCCAGCCTCCTGGCTTTGCACCCCGAGATCCTCCACCCGCGCCCAGGCGCGCTCCACGTCCACGCGGGTCATGCCCCAAAGATTGGGCCAGGAGGGATCCTTTATTTAGTTTTTTGTTTTTGTGTTTGGGGGGGCGGGGTTCTTTTTTAGGGGGATCCGTTTTAAGAGGTGGCTTTTTCGGGGATCCTTTCTTGGGGTGGATTTTTCGGGGGGATCCTATTTAGGGGGATCCTTTTGGGGGGCTTGGGGATGGAAACGGCTAGATTCCTTTGGTGAGGTTTCGGGTTTGTCCGATCAATTGGTGGGTGCCCGGGTACGGGGTGGGGCGGAAGTGGGGGTTTGGGACAAGCTCAAGGCTTCTCTGGAAGCTGTGCAAGAATTCCACACTTGGTCGCCATCTCCCCGGCACTTCAGCCGGAAATCGCCAGGTCCAAACCTCAAACTGCCCAGGCCCCAAACTCCTGCACCTTTGGACCCCTCCAAGCCCGACACCCTAAACCCCTAAACCCCTAAACCCCTGAACCTCTGAACCCCTAAACCCCTTTTTTTACCCCTAAACCCTAAACCCTCAAGATCTGCTTCAAACGCTTCGCAAGGAGCGTTGGGCGCTGCAGAGAAGCTGGTGGCATCAGAGAGGTGCACCTGGAAATGACTGTTTTGGGTTCGGCCCCATACAGCAGTAGTGGCTCAATATTCCTCCAGGACTTAAAAGGCTGAAGCCCGAAAGGAACTTGCCATTGTCGGTTGCTTCAGTGTTCAACACGACAGCTAGCCTGAAGCCTCTCTCTACACTCCGCGACTTCTGCCTGGCAGAGCGCCGCATCACATCTACGAGACAGTTCGGACATCGAGCATGTGTTCGCTTGTATGGAATTGCCACCCGTTCGCGAGGCCGAGTTCGTCGGACCACAGATTGCAGGTCAAACTTTACAATGGCCTGAAGTGCTGTGGGCTCTGTACATTCCCGAACCGAATCAAAGGCTACTCCTCGGCCTCAAGGCTGGTAAAAGCTTGCAATTACAATTGAAACTCAAAAGGTCTCCACTCCCGTGTCACACAGTACACCTACCGGTCAGCATTACATGTCACTGACTGCAAGAGCTGTTGGCACTTCGCATTGCCGCAACACTGCTGTGTCTGGCCACTGTCTGGCACTTCGCATTGCTGGCACCGCAGCACTGCTGTGTCAGCTGGCCTGGGCCTCCGCACACTTCGTTCACTGCCACGCAACTCTGCTGCTCCATGCATTTCATGTCACTGCCACCAAAAAGCTGCTGGCACTTCGCATTACCGCAGCACTGCTGTGTCAGCTGGCCTGGGCCTCCGCACACTTCGTTCACTGCCACGCAACTCTGCTGCTCCATGCATTTCATGTCACTGCCACCAAAAAGCTGCTGGCACTTCGCATTACCGCAGCACTGCTGTGTCAGCTGGGCTGGGCCTCCGCACACTTCGTTCACTGCCACGCAGCTTTGCTGCTCCACGCATTTCATGTCACTGCCCCCCAAGAGCTGTTGGCACTTCGCGTTGCCGCAGCACTGCTGTGACGGCTGGCCCAGCCCTCCGCACACTTCGTTCACTGCCACGCAGCTTTTTTGCTCCACGCACTTCATGTCACTGCCACCAAAGAGCTGTTGGCACTTCGCGTTGCCGCAGCAAGGCTGTGTTTGCTGATCTGCCCAGCCACAGGTGCTATGCTCCGGTAGACACTGCTCTGGACGGCGAACACACACGCCACCAAATCCTGAGGCCACGCACTCGAAGTCGTCACAGCACGAAACTGCACGGACCCAAACCATCCAAGGTTTGGGCCTGCAGGGCCCGCCCTCGGCTCCTTCGCAGTAGCAGTGCCGGCATCCTCGAAGCGAAGTGGCAGCGCTCGAAGCGTTCGACGAACTCTGAGCTGCGACGGCCCCCAAGAAGCAAGCCCACACCAACTGGCCTAAGTGTCTTTAACCAAACCTAATCCGGATCAGTACAGTTAGTCCCAAAAGCTTAAAAATTGGAACTGCTGCATCTCAGTGGCGAGGCATGCTGCACGAAGTCAGGTCGTCGACTTCTGAGTGAGCTATCCGCAGGCCAGGCCGGTAGCCGGTTCGTGTGACAGAAAAACGGCTGAAGGCAGATCCGTGTAATATAGGGGCCTGAATCATCAGAATAGGGTTTTGGGGGTTATTATCGCAGAACTACAAAGGGGCCATAAGGGAATCATATTAGGAATTATTCCGACACCTATATCAATCACTGGGAGAACCCTCCACCACCCACTTCGGGCTTGCAGTGTTCTGCTGCACCTGCTAAGCTTAGCACTGGCGGACTATCAGCCTGGATCAATTCTTACAAGCATCAAGGCCTCCCCAAATTCTTGCATGCGTCAAGGCCTCCCCCCTTTAAGGGAGGATATATATATATATATAGGATACCCTATATCCCCCTTAAAGAAAACCCTTTAAGGAACTACATAGGGTCAAGCTCAAAGAAAGCACGCATCATGCCGGCAGGCGCCTTCTGATCCAGCTCCGCAAAACTCAGCTCCTCGCCCCAGTGTTGCCGGAGCTTGCCTGCGTGTGGGTGAAGTTTAGGGTTTATAGGGTTTAGGGTTTAGAGTTTAGGGTTTAGGGAGGTTCATAGGTGGTTTTCAGTATAGAGTTGTACTAAAGGCAACCATGTGTTCTAACCTTACTCAAGCTACTGAAAACCTTCACAGAAAAGAGCTAGGGCATTGAGAGGATTTATGGGAGGTTCGTTCTTACAAGTTAGAACAAGGGAATTCGGGAATGTAGGGACCACTAAGTCAAAGTCAATCAAGATATACATAGATATAAAAACCTTTCAAAGCTCTCAATTCAAGGGCAAGTCCCAGGAAGCCCTCAATCCCCCAAACGCTTGCGAAACCAACTGCCCCAGTGATCTGGCACGATTGACGAGGCGGGAGCAGCGCATCATGAGCATCAGCGGGGTCTTCTTCTGCTCACGTGGCCCCCTAAGTTCCAAACATTTCCAAACGCTTGCGAAACCAACTGCCCCAGTGATCTGGCACGATTGACGAGGCGGGAGCAGCGCATCATGAGCATCAGCGGGGTCTTCTTCTGCTCACGTGGCCCCCTAAGTTCCAAACATTTCCAAACGCTTGCGAAACCAACTGCCCCAGTGATCTGGCACGATTGACGAGGCGGGAGCAGCGCATCATGAGCATCAGCGGGGTCTTCTTCTGCTCACGTGGCCCCCTAAGTTCCAAACATTTCCAAACGCTTGCGAAACCAACGCCCCAGTGATCTGGCACGATTGACGAGGCGGGAGCAGCGCATCATGAGCATCAGCGGGGTCTTCTTCTGCTCACGTGGCCCCCTAAGTTCCAACATTTCCAAACGCTTGCGAAACCAACTGCCCCAGTGATCTGGCACGATTGACGAGGCGGGAGCAGCGCATCATGAGCATCAGCGGGGTCTTCTTCTGCTCACGTGGCCCCCTAAGTTCCAAACATTTCCAAACGCTTGCGAAACCAACTGCCCAGTGATCTGGCACGATTGACGAGGCGGGAGCAGCGCATCATGAGCATCAGCGGGGTCTTCTTCTGCTCACGTGGCCCCCTAAGTTCCAAACATTTCCAAACGCTTGCTGAATTTTGGCCCCCTAAGTTCCATTTCCAAACGCTTGCGAAACCAACTGCCCCAGTGATCTGGCACGATTGACGAGGCGGGAGCAGCGCATCACGAGCATCAGCGGGGTCTTCTTCTGCTCACGTGGCCCCCTAAGTTCCAAACATTTCCAAACGCTTGCGAAACCAACTGCCCCAGTGATCTGGCACGATTGACGAGGCGGGAGCAGCGCATCATGAGCATCAGCGGGGTCTTCTTCTGCTCACGTGGCCCCCTAAGTTCCAAACATTTCCAAACGCTTGCGAAACCAACTGGTCCAGTGATCTGGCACGATGGACGAGGCGGGAGCAGCGCATCATGAGCATCAGCGGGGTCTTCTTCTGCTCACGTGGCCCCCTAAGTTCCAAACATTTCCAAACGCTTGCGAAACCAACTGCCCCAGTGATCTGGCACGATGGACGAGGCGGGAGCAGCGCATCATGAGCATCAGCGGGGTCTTCTTCTGCTCACGTGGCCCCCTAAGTTCCAGACATTTCCAAACGCTTGCGAAACCAACTGCCCCAGTGATCTGGCACGATGGACGAGGCGGGAGCAGCGCATCATGAGCATCAGCGGGGTCTTCTTCTGCTCACGTGGCCCCCTAAGTTCCAGACATTTCCAAACGCTTGCGAAACCAACGGCCCCAGTGATCTGGCACGATGGACGAGGCGGGAGCAGCGCATCATGAGCATCAGCGGGGTCTTCTTCTGCTCACGTGGCCCCCTGTTCCAAACATTTCCAAACGCTTGCGAAACCAACTGCCAGTCATCTGGCACGATGGACGAGGCGGGAGCAGCGCATCATGAGCATCAGCGGGTCTTCTTCTGCTCACGTGGCGCTTGCGAAACCAACTGCCCCAGTGATCTGGCACGATGGACGAGGCGGGAGCAGCGCATCATGAGCATCAGCGGCGTCTTCTTCTGCTCATGTGGCCCCCTAAGTCCCAAACATTTCCAAACGCTTGCGAAACCAACTGCCCCAGTGATCTGGCACGATGGACGAGGCGGGAGCAGCGCATCACGAGCATCAGCTGGGTCTTCTTCTGGTCACGTGTTGCCCCAGTGATCTGGCACGATGGACGAGGCGGGAGCAGCGCATCATGAGCATCAGCGGGGTCTTCTTCTGCTCACGTGGCCCCCTAAGTTCCAAACATTTCCAACGCGTGCGAAACCAACTGCCCCAGTGATCTGGCACGATGGACGAGGCGGGAGCAGCGCATCATGAGCATCAGCGGGGTCCTCTTCTGCTCACGTGGCCCCCTAAGGTCCAAACATTTCCAAACGCTTGCGAAACCAACTGCCCCAGTGATCTGGCACGATTGACGAGGCGGGAGCAGCGCATCATGAGCATCAGCGGGGTCTTCTTCTGCTCACGTGGCCCCCTAAGTCCCAAACATTTCCAAACGCTTGCGAAACCAACTGCCCCAGTGATCTGGCACGATGGACGAGGCGGGAGCAGCGCATCATGAGCATCAGCGGGGTCTTCTTCTGCTCACGTGGCCCCCTAAGTTCCAAACATTTCCAAACGCTTGCGAAACCAACTGTCCAAGTGATCTGGCACGATGGACGAGGCGGGAGCGGCGCATCATGAGCATCAGCTGGGTCTTCTTCTGCTCGGGTGGCCCCCTAAGTTCCAAACATTTCCAAACGCTTGCGAAACCAACTGCCCCAGTGATCTGGCACGATGGACGAGGCGGGAGCAGCGCATCATGAGCATCAGCGGGGTCTTCTTCTGCTCACGTGGCCCCCTAAGTTCCAAACATTTCCAACGCGTGCGAAACCAACTGCCCCAGTGATCTGGCACGATGGACGAGGCGGGAGCAGCGCATCATGAGCATCAGCGGGGTCCTCTTCTGCTCACGTGGCCCCCTAAGGTCCAAACATTTCCAAACGCTTGCGAAACCAACTGCCCCAGTGATCTGGCACGATTGACGAGGCGGGAGCAGCGCATCATGAGCATCAGCGGGGTCTTCTTCTGCTCACGTGGCCCCCTAAGTCCCAAACATTTCCAAACGCTTGCGAAACCAACTGCCCCAGTGATCTGGCACGATGGACGAGGCGGGAGCAGCGCATCATGAGCATCAGCAGGGTCTTCTTCTGCTCACGTGGCCCCCTAAGTTCCAAACATTTCCAAACGCTTGCGAAACCAACTGCCCCAGTGATCTGGCACGATGGACGAGGCGGGAGCAGCGCATCATGAGCATCAGCGGGGTCTTCTTCTGCTCACGTGGCCCCCTAAGTTCCAAACATTTCCCAACGCTTGCGAAACCAACTGCCCCAGTGATCTGGCACGATGGACGAGGCGGGAGCAGCGCATCATGAGCATCAGCGGGGTCTTCTTCTGCTCACGTGGCCCCCTAAGTTCCAAACATTTCCAAACGCTTGCGAAACCAACTGCCCCAGTGATCTGGCACGATGGACGAGGCGGGAGCTGCACATCATGAGCATCAGCTGGGTCGTGGCCCCCTAAAAGTTCCAGACGCTTGCGAAACCAACTCCCCCAGTGATCTGCGGGAGCAGCGCATCATGAGCATCAGCGGGGTCTTCTTCTGGTCACGTGGCCCCCTAAGCTCCAAACATTTCCAAACGCTTGCGAAACCAACTGCCCCAGTGATCTGGAACGATTGACGAGGCGGGAGCAGCGCATCACGAGCATCAGCTGGGTCTTCTTCTGGTCACGTGGCCCCCTAAGCTCCAAACATTTCCAAACGCTTGCGAAACCAACTGCCCCAGTGATCTGGCACGGTTGACGAGGCGGGAGCAGCGCATCATGAGCATCAGCTGCGTCTTCTTCTGCTCACGTGGATGCCTAAGTTCCAAACATTTCCAAACGCTTGCGAAACCAACTGCCCCCAGTGATCTGGCACAGTTGACGAGGCGGGAGCAGCGCATCATGATCATCAGCGGGGTCTTCTTCTGCTCACGTGGCCCCCTAAGTCCCAAACATTTCCAAACGCTTGCGAAACCAACTGCCCCCAGTGATCTGGCACGATTGACGAGGCGGGAGCAGCGCATCATGAGCATCAGCTGCGTCTTCTTCTGCTCACGTGGATGCCTAAGTTCCAAACATTTCCAAACGCTTGCGAAACCAACTGCCCCCAGTGATCTGGCACAGTTGACGAGGCGGGAGCAGCGCATCATGAGCATCAGCGGGGTCTTCTT